GAAGACAGGCAGCTTGCATGAGCTCTGTGCCATTTCACCCCATTGGCATCTGAGCCAACCCACCAGCACATTTCAGTTGGGCTGCCTGGCTGTCTGAGCAAGATAGCTTACTAAGCCCAGCCTTCCACTGTCCTCACGCTTTCCATTTTTACTGTCTGTTCCCGTTCCACGTGTGCTCGGAAACACCCACAGCCCCTTGCTACATTTCTCCAGAGTCAGCAGAAGACGCCGGGACTAAATCTGGGTCCTTCACGTGCATAAAGAAGCGCTCAAAGTTGATGTCCCACACCAGGAGGCGACAGGCCCGGGCTACCCGAAGGAGATCTCCATGCATGTTGTGTGCGTCAGAATCCATTTTAGACTCCAGCATTGCAACCGCTTTGCACTGCACGCAGCTAGTCGGATGCCTGTGGCCTGAGGCAGTGAACAGCCATCAAGATCCTTACCAAAACCAACATCACTCTTCACGGCCTCAACCCAGGCAGAATCTTAAACACAGCACACGTGACTTCATTACAGGCTACGCACTGCAAAGGGATGTTTTACAGACAGGGGCTGTGCTGACAGCCAACTCAGATCCACTACCAGCTATAGCTTCCTGGGTTTCTAGTATTTTTCCTTTAAACACCAGCTGCTGGTCCATGCTATTGACATGAATCAAAACTGAGAGTTGTAGGGATTTTTTGAGAGTTTCTAGCTTTGCTGGTTTTTTTGAGAGCTTAAAAATGTGAGGCATGAGAGAGAGAGAGGAGGAAGAGAATGGTCAATGCAGAAGGCAAAGAAAAATAATGCGGCATTTATTTTAAAAAAAGAAGTCTCATGATTTTTTTGATATTTGGGCTTGGAAGTGCCCATGTGGGTCATCGCCTGAAGCCCTAGTGACAATGAAGTTATCTTGAGAGCAAAATGCCTTTGCTGCAGGAGACCCTCCTATTCACAAGGGACATGAGATAAACACAAGCCAGGCTGATCTTGGTTTTGCACTTGCCCAGTGGTTTTTAAAAGTGGTTCAGAGAATCAAATCCAGTTCCAAAGCTGGACACATCCCTTTGACAGCATCAACTGGCAGAGCTCCAGATGGCTGTCAAGGATGTGACCCAACATCTTTTTCCTTTGCCGGGATGGCGCGATACGGTAGCACTGAGAGGCGAAGGACTGAGGCAGACCATCAGGGGAAGCTTCCTGACAGCGGGATTGATTAGACAGTGGAATGAGCACAGCAGGAAGTGGGTGAAGCTCCATCACTCAAGCTATTTAAAACTGGACAAAGCCCTAAGGAGTGAAGACAGCCCTGCACAGCCTCCCCACAAAGCTAGAAGCCTCGGGGGGTCTTCTCCATCTCCTCATCTTGTGCTCAGACTAAGTAGCTTCTCCGTTTTCGAATCATAGAAAATGAGGGCCGGAAGGGACCTCAGGAGGTCACATCTCTGCAGGCCAACCCCCTGCTCCAAGCAGGACCAGCCCCAACTACATCATCCTAGCCCAGTCTTTGTCTAGCCAGGTCTTAAAAATCTCCAAGGATGGAGACTCCACCACCTCTCTGGGGAGCCTTTTTCCAGTGCATTACTACCCTCCTAGTGAGAAAAATTTCCTCATATCTAACCTAAACTTCCCTTGAGCCCATTGCTCCTCACAAGTCATGTTCCCCAGTCCCCAGACCACTTTCATTGCCCTCCACTGGACACTCTCCAACTTGTTCACATCCTTTCTGCACTGGGGGCCCAAAACTGGACACAGGACTCCAGATGTGGCCTCACCAGTGCCAAATAGAAGGGAAGAATCACTGTCCTTGATCAGCTGGCAACGCTCCTACTAATGCAGCCCAGGATGCCCTTAGCCCACTTGGCAACAAGGGCACACTGTTGGCACAATGGCTAACACTGTTGGGCCATATTCAGCTTATTGTCCACTGTAACCCCCAGGTCCTTCTCTGCGGAGCTGCTACTTTGCCAGTCGGTCCCCAGCCTGCTCACAAGCATCTTAAGGCAGCACAAGAATTAAAGAGATGTCAATTGATCCTTTTAATAATGCAGCAAGCCTTTCCCTGAAGAGTCTTGACCTTCTTTAAAGTAGTATGTGAGGAGGTCACCCTTCCGGTGAGACCACACATAGTAGTTTACAGAGGGCGAGTACGCAAGTAAGGATGCTTTAATATGCAGCTAACTGACTATTACAGAATCCAACACATCAACGGGCAACTACAGGCCAGAGCTTTCAAATCTCGTGATTATTTGTATTATCAGAGCATCTCAGAGCTCAGCATCCTGGGCAATAGGGGCCTGGCAAACACAATCCCTGTCCCAAAGAGATGACAGATGGATGCAGACAGACAGACACGAGGAAGAGGCAAGCCAATACCACTTGCCTGATGGGCTGAAATCCCAGAACACCTACAGTCAGCATCAGAGCAAAAGGGAGTTTTATGGCGGGATCTGCAGGAGAACAACGAGAGGGCTCTGAGTGCATGCAGGGAGCTCCTCTCGTGTGAGGGGAAGCGTGGGAGAAAGCACCAGCTTGCTCATTGGAACATTTAACAAGTTGTAGACGGGGCTGATCAGAGGCAGGAACTGAGGAGGAGATGGCAAGTAAGCCGTGGGCAGGCCAGGAAAAGCCCTGAAAGTAAAGACAAGTAGTCTGATGCAATAGAGAAACAGGGATGCACTGAAGGGATGGTGTGGTCAGTGTGATGGGCCAGGAAACAGCCTTTGCAGCGGGATTCTGCATAGGACTGGGTGGAACAAGGCCACATTTGTCAAGGCCAGCTCCCATCCAAGCTCCTTAAATGCAAGAGGCAAAGGAGATGGGGTAGCAGTTGCAGAGGCAAGTAGGACCAAGGTTTGGGGTCTTCATAAGCTGGGAGAGACTAAAGTTGGTGCCAGGAAGGAAAGATCAAGTGTGTAAGAAGATCCACGAGACCAAGAGATAGGATGGCATCTTCAGACGCCATGCACATGGCCCTCTATAACACACAATCAGGTGGGTCACATAACAGCATCCTGCCATTACTGTCAGCCCGTTACAAACCATTTATAAGCTTGATCATCCAAACAGCAAAACCCCGCTGGTGAAAAGGGATGCCGGGTTCGCTGGTATTTAGCCGATGCACCTTACACCTCTGTGGGGCAGGAATAACATTCCCAATCACAGACTCATAGAAAATGAGGGTTGGAAGGGACCTCAGGGGGTCACATCTACTCCAGCCCCTTGCTCAAAGCAGAACTGTCCCCAACTAGATCATCCCAGCAACGGCTTTGTGTAGCCGAGTCTTAAACACCTCCAAGGATGGAGATCCCACCACCTCCCTGAGTAGCCTGTTCTAGTGCTTTGCTACCCTTGTAGTGAGAAAGTTTTCCCTAAACTTCCCTTGCTGCAATTTGAGCCCATTGCTCCTTGCTCTGTCATCTGCCACCACTGAGATCAGTCCAGCTCCATCCTCGTTGTTACCATCCTTCAGGTAGTTGAAGGCTGCCCCTCGGTCTTCTCTTTTCTAAACTAAATCAGCCCAGTTCCCTTGGCCTCTCCTCACAAGTCATGTCCCCCTCAGCCCCGCAACCATTTTCATTGCCCTCCGCTGGACTCTCTCCATTTTGTCTACATCCTTTCCAGATTTGCTCCTTGAACGCAATCGGTGTCTTCAAAAACCTGAGAATGCTACGGATGAATTGTGGAGGGGTTGACGGGCCCCACGCCAGAAAGCCAAGCAGAGAATGTAATTCTGGGGCTGTGAGACTCCAGGAGAGAACAACTTTTTTTCTCCATGAGGACTGAGTGTGGAAAAGAGGAAAAAGAGGAAAATTCACAATTTTTTTCAGTGAAATCTTCATGAGCAATGAGAAGAAAAGTGAGGGAAAAGGAGAATCGTTAACCCGAGAAGGAGCTGCGGCATTAAAATACACAAAATAAAATGTGAATGGACGAATCAACACACCCGGTTCTTTGTGCAGTCCTACAATCTTACACACTTTCCCTTCTCCCCTAAAACTGGGCCAGATCCTCCTCTGATATAAATTGGCCTCATTTCCATTAAAGTTGATCGTGGTGACAGCTGTTGCAAAGACCAAGGCTACTGAGAAAAGAGCTTTAAAATTACTGATCAAAAACTTTTTGCTTGAAAAATAAATGGGACTTTAATGGGGGACAGGGAAAAGCAATGCATCCTAGGTTTTCAAAAGTCAACTCCCCTTCCCCCCCAAAAAAAACCAAACAAACCCTGCCCTCTATAGTTTTGAAAACATTTTATATGAGTTTTTGTGTTCCTTTTCCTTGCCTTCTCTCTCTGCCTTTTTAACTATAAAAAATAAAATACAATATAATGAGAGAGAGAGAATGGACAGAAAACAAAAGGAGCGAGGAAGAAGGGAAAGAAAGGGAATATGGAAAACACCAAAAAAGAAACCCAAAGTGATTTGCTGTGTTTTATTTACGGTTTGGTTTGTTGCAGGGAGCAGTTTCCAATTTTGATGGAGGAAAAAAAATGCATATAATTTTTTTTTTGAGGGAGAAAAGAATATTTTTCAGTCATTAAAAAAATAATCTGAAAAGTTCTCCCCAACTCAGTATCGCTGAACACTTCTTTTACAGCAGCACCTGAAGTCCAGCTCAGGGCCCATCGTGTTAGGCACTGTACATCTATATCAGTGGCCAATGTCTGCCATAGAGCATCGAAGGAGCAATTGCTGCTTAGACCAGCCAAGGACCTGGCACTTGAAGCATTCACTAAGCCAACAGATATTAAAAAAAAAAAATCCCTTTCTTCCTCCCGACTTATTCTCCCAGTTGCAGTTTTCTCTGGTCTCTTTCAATGGCTCACCCCAGTGCTATCCTGCAGAAAGTCCAGGCAATTTGTAGCTGAATGATGGATTAGGGTTCCCTGCTTTTTTAATACACAAACACACACACATCTTTCCTATAAATACACAGCAGCCAAAACATACCACGGGCTTTGGGGTGAGCCAGGACAAGGGATGCAGGAAGGAAAATAAATCAGCAAAACAACTTACCTAGCACTAGTGGTGTGGCGAGATGAACGGGTTGAACAATGACGCCAAGGGTGATGCGGGCACCGGAGGGCAGACAGAGAGCTATTATCGCCGACCCTTGTTTTTGTCGGCTGCTTCCCACTCCCCCACCCAAAAGTAGTGCTCGCACTTATCTCAGAGTCCAATCTCCCCGTTGTGTGTGCGCCCGATCGCGCTCGCTCAGCATTTACAGGCAGATTGAGGTTCTGGTTTGCCTCGAGCTGTTCATAAACACTACGTTCCCATTGTACGAAGAAGGGGGCAAGATGTCGGGCCTCCCCCCGTGCCCCCCTCCCCACCCAATTCATCACCGCAGGCACTAATCTCATCTGACGGAGAGATGTCTTCCTACCCCAAACACCTCTGAGAACTAAACAGCACGGGGCGGGGGGGGCTAGCTAAGCGCTGCGAGAAGTCAGCTGCGTGGGACACCACATGAGGCAGAACGTGAAGCACAGATCTAAACCAACCACTGCAGCTCGGTCAGCTTGGCTCCGAGAAGGCCTGACTCTACTGCAAAGAAGTCATGGCTGGGAGAGACGTAACAAGTCAGTCAACCCGTGCCCAACCCCCGCCCCCCTCAAGAAGCCAGTGCAGCACTGGTTCCCAGGCCAGTAGGGTCTGGTCTGGCTTGGGAGTCGGAAAGTAAGCAGGGAAGGTAGTTCTGGGGACTATCTCTGGCTCTGCCACCGACTTTTTGCATGACCCTGGTCAAGCCACTTCCCCTCCATGCCTCAATTCCCCCCAGGGGATGTTATTTACCTGCCTCACCAGGGAGTGGTGAGATTTTAAAGGCTGACTCTCTGGCAGGGGTAAACACACACAGCTCTGCTAGCTTCCACAGAGCCACCAGCTGCGGGATTCGGCTCTTCAGGTTTGGAGGAGCTTGGACAAAAGGTGCTGATATTACAGACACGGACAGATTTACCACTTGGACAGGTCTCCTGAACTTCCCTTTGCTTAATCCCATCCCGTTAGCCTATGCTGGATAACGCATCCCTTTCCCAAGCTGTTGCAAAGCAACCCTTCTCCTTCTGCAGGGCTGCTAGTCACCCCCAGAAGGTCTCACTTCTAGCGAGGCTGCCATGGGGCAGCCACAAAGAGAACACCCTATGCCCCTGGCTGGATGCGCTCCCAAAAGCACAAAGGGGGCCTGTCCTGCAGCTTTGTGTGGTCCGAGCACTGGTGGGATTGCAGCTGCTCGGCCACATGAAAGCAAAGCTATGGAGAGCACAGCCACGGAGCAAGAGCAACAGACTGAGCAAGTGTCCAACACTCAAGCTTGCACCTGTCCTTGCCAATGCACTGCTCTCCCAGTCTGCCCCACCTCCTCTCCTGCTCCTGGGTCTACACTCAGCCGTGGTTACAGTATCACCCAGAGCCAACAAGCAGCCCCGTGTCTGAGACCAGCACATGGCATTGGTAAACCAAGTAGAGGAAGTACACTAACCAGGTCCAACATCTTCAGTCTTCTCCTGGGGTCTTGTACTCAGCCATTTCCCAAATCCTTGGCTTCCACTCTAGGAGACAGGAAAGCCGTTTACTTCCAGGGGGCACCAGTGGATTTTGTCAGCCACCTCCATTTATTGGTCTGCCTTGGACCTGAGCTCTGTCCTTCATGAAACCAGGGGTTGTCAGCACCCTCTGAAAGAAATTCAGAGCCCGGCTGCCACAAATGGGACACCCAGAAACCACAGGCAGTGCGCTCATGACAGCCTCTGAACATCCCGTTGCAACACGTGGTGACTGCTCTCCCCAAAGATACTCAGGATGGCAGGGCCCCTTGGAGGGCAGAAAGGAGAGCAATATGATGGCAGTAAAACTACAAGCCTGAAGAGCTGCCCGCTTACCTAGAGACCGAGACAACGAGGCTGAAAAGGCAAGCTCATCCGAAGCAGCTGCCATGAGCAGCAAATGCCTCAGTCCTGAGGCACCCTGCACAAGTTCAGTTCGGAGGATAATGCCACAGCCCAGCTGCTGCGTCGCTTTGACATTTCAACAACAGATTGTAGCTGCCGTGACAGCCATGGCTCTGGTTTGCTGCCATGCACCAACTTTCCTCTTACCCAAGGAAAAGCCTGTGATGGTAGCTCAGTGCACCATCTGAGTCTGTTCAGCTGTAACCCGTTATCCAGGGGAAACCATTGCCCACTTGCTAAGGAAGACCTTGAGCTCCATTCCTCTTTTAGTTTTATAGAGGTTTCATAGAAGTAGGGTCGGAGGGGACCTGAGCAGATCATCTAGTCTGACTCCCTGCCCTGGGCAGGAAACCCCCTGCCCTGGGCACGAAAGATCTTAGATCTCATGTGCTAAACAACACCAGGGCTGGCATTGGGAGGCCTCTAAGGAAAGCTCCTGAAGCCTGGCTTTGCTCTGCCTTCTCATTGAACAGCCATGCAGGTGCCCCAAGGTGCCCAGGGTTCAATGCAGGGAGTGTTTGGCTTGCACCATGTGGATGGCTCTGGCTCTCCAGTACCCACCTGAGCTTCCCAGGTGGACTCTTATTAAAAACCACCTTTAGACTTGGTAAGGGAGCTGCTAATGGGCATAGATACACAGATGCCAGCCATGGCCTTTAGAGCTGATCAAATCAAAACTGCCTGGCTAAACCTGTCAGTCTTCCACAAGCCAGCGTGATGCCCCAGGTGCAGCCCTGCCTGTCTCGAGGAACAGCAGGACTTAGCATGCCAGTTTCATGTGCATCCATGAGACTCCTAGGAGAGTGTGATCAGGATGGCTAGGGCTGGGATTTAGGGACTGAGCCTGCCAGTTCCTACTGAATTTCTGGGGATTTCAAACTCCAGCTCACTGTGATGGAGATGCTCTAAAAAGCCCGGTGCCCTGTGGACTCCCAGCGACCTGACACAGTTTGTGCTGCTATCCCAGCTCCATTGCAATGATAGTATAGGCCATCCATAGGCGGATGTTAAATACAGAGCACCTCAGGCAGGAAGGAAGAACGTGCCAGAGTCCCTCTAAGGCTGCTAAAACCACAATAAAGATCTTCCCTTCTACAGCAGCAAGAGAAGGCTCCGGCCCCAGCTCACAGCACCTTTGCATTGCAAACCTTGTAATCTCACCCCGCTCCCCTAATAAGGTTTTTAATGCGTCTTTGCATTGCTTTCATGTTTGCAAAGGGAACTGCCCCTTGCAGCCCTCCTGGCACCCCCACATATCAGCCCATCACCTCCACGCCAAGGAGCAAGCAGGAATCTGTGCAAGTTCAAACTGAGTCAAGATGGGAGCCTAGGGAGGAGGGGGACAGGGTTTGTTAGCACCAAAGTGTCACCAGTCCCCAGCTGTACCAAGAAGCCAAAGGTGTTGGGTTTTCTGCAGAAATGGTGCTAGGAGTCAGGCCTGAGCTGGAAGATTCACACCTACCAGCTGGGAGATTCGCATCTACAAATCCCTACCTGGCCCCTTACCTCCCCTTTGTTTCAAAGGTGCCCTAGATCCCCCAGAGCAGTGGTTTCCAATCTGTGGTACCTACGTGTTAACAGATTTATAATTACTTTATATGACAAAAATTTGCTGGTGGTAGTTAAGGCTGAACTGAAAAATTTACCAGTGGTACTTAAACTGGTGGTGTGCAACCTGCCAGAGTTTGGGAGTTGGCAAGTAAGCAAGGGGCTTATGCTGAGGACTGGCAAGCTGCGGACCAACAGTGACGGGCATACTGTCAGCAGGCAGACAACCCTTTTTATATGCAATACAACAAAGGGTTGGCTGCTGGTCCGCAGTATGCCGGTCACTTCTAGTCCATAGTTTGCCGATCTGCGGTTTGCTGATCTGCAGTTTGCTGATCTGCAGTCACTTCCGGTCCGGCAGCCACCCCTCCTGCGGACCAGCAGCCAACCCTTTGTGGCCCGGGGGCTGGGAATCCCTGCCCTAGAGTGAAAGTCTGGCCCCTAATGGAGTTGTACCATGAAGGTGAATGGGGCCTGAACACACAGGGCAAGATCCTGAGCCAGCGCCTGTCTGCATTGCACTGCTGACTTTGTTCCTGGCTCCACGCTTGAGCCTTATCTGCCTCCACTCAGGCTGGGCACCTCATGCACCCGGCCAGGCCGGATGGGATTTGGGAAGGGGCCTTGGGAAGCCAAGGGGAGCAGCACAGCGTGCACAAGGAAACAGCGCAGTGACTTTCAAGTGAGGAAGCAGCCATTCGGCTTTGTTTGAGATGGGCTTGGCTTTGCCCATGGCTTGGCCGCGTGCTCATTGGTTTTGTTCCCCAGTCCTGGCCAGCAGACAAGAGGCTCTTTGTGTCTCTCTGGCTCCTGAGGCACCTGTTCCCCCTCTGCTACTCCGTTCCCCGGTGTGTCCTTATTTATCCCCGTGCGGCCTGCAGCCTGTTCCCTGCAGCAAAGGGCTTTGGCAGCCCCTGCCTACACCTGCCTCAGCCTGGCACTCCAGCCCGGGGACCGTTTGAGTGAGCCTGTGGGCAGGCACAGTTGCTTTGTGTGTGCGCGCGCACACACACACACACATATACCCCCCCTGGCCGCCCCCGTTTACACCAGTTGTTGATGTGGGGAGGGCAGGGACCCGGGAAGGATGAGAGCGAGTGAAGGCATTTAACGCCAGCCCGGCAAATTCGCACTTGGCCGCCACAGCCGTCATGCCACAGCTGCTGAGCTGCCTGCCGCTGCCTCTGAGCTGCTCGGCCAGGAGGAGAGGTTTGGAGCCCTGAAGACCACGAGGGGCCCGATCCTTGTTGTGGCAGTGCCCTTCCCCGCTGCCCGCCTCAAGGCAGAAGTGCACCCGCTGCCAGCAACGAGCCAGGCTGGGACTCCACAGACCCTGGGACAGCTGCTTGAAGCCTCCCTCGCTGCCTACTGTGAGCAGCCCAGGCTCCATGGTGGGCGGCAGAGGCTTGCCCAGAGGCCAGGATGGCTGTGGCAGGCAGCAAGCAGCTGCACTGGGGTCCATGGAGCCCTGGCCTGGCTTGCAGCTGGCAGCGGGTGCACACACACCTCAGGGCAGATGGTGGGAAGGAGCTGGGGCTGCGCTGCCACAACAAGGATTGGGCTCCTTGTGTCTCCCCTGCCATCCGCCCCAGCACACCAACATCTTAACAAGTTGAGGTTGTGGGTGTTTTTGGTACTTGGCCTGAAAACATTGCCAGCGCCTGGTCTAGGGAGCATCAGTTATGCAAAGCCCTGAGCTCAGAGCACTGAGCCAGCCTGTGTCCCCCCACTTCCCTGCCCCACTCCAACCTCAGACCACATGTGCAGCTCAACTACACACACACACACACACACACACACACACACACACACACACAGCGTTTGCAATATGCA